ACACACACCAGACTCATTCTAATGTGGGGGAAGTGTCTTGCCTAAGGACACAACCACAGTTTGGCACTTTACAGCCGCAGCCGCCCCACTGTGGTACCTGCTGTTCCCAGAGGTCTCCCATCACAGCACTAACCAGGCTCTGCCCTGCTTATCTTCTGAAGTCAGGGTTTCACAGGTATGTTCTTTGACTGGGGTGTTCTAAAGAAACTTTTCTTATGAGACTTTTCTTGTACCTTTTTAAAATAAGATCATTTTGCTTTGTTCCATTTCCAGATCTAATTAAAACACATTTAGCCAAATTTAAGGAATTTTTGACTTTTTTTTCATCACTTTTGTCATGATGTACGCCGATAGGCCACTATATTGTGCGTCATCAGGCATGAGACGTTTTGGAGACATGTGTTTGGTCACGAGTGACTATGGTTCTGTACGAGAATAAAGTACACGTTTAGAAGTTACAACATCTCTTCATTTCTTCACATCGCTGTACACGAGATGGTGTCAGAAGTGGTCGACGACAGGACGCCTGCATAAGAGCAATGGCAAAGTTCGGACCGCCAGAAACGTTTGACTTTTCCAAACCAGCAGAGTGGCCAATATGGCGCCGCCGCTTCGACCGGTACAGGGTCGCTACGAAGCTCGACAGAGACAGCGGCGAAGTGCAAGTCAACACACTTCTCTACGCTTTGGGAAGAGAAGCAGAGCCAATATATGATTCATTTGTGTATAGTGACAGCAAAGATGAAAATAGTGACGATGAAGAGAGGACACAGTCACGGTTTGACTACTCAAAAGTGATAGCTAAGTTCACGGAGCATTTTGTGCCCAAACGCAACGTCATTCACGACCGTGCATGCTTTTACAAACGAGTGCAGAAGCCCGGAGAATCAGTGGAGGCGTTTGTGAGGAGTTTGTATGAACTATCCCAGTACTGTGAGTTTGGAGCCATAAAAGACGAGCAAATCTTTTATGGCTCCAGACAGGATTGTTATTGGCATATCCGACAGTGATGTCTCTCAAAAACTACAGCTAGAAACGGAGCTCACACTGGAAAAAGCTATCCAAATAGCAAGACAAAATGAACAAATTAAGCAACAGAACATCAGTATGCGTGCGGAATGTACTCTGGATGCAGTGAGACAAGGCAGGCGGCAGTATGATAGAAAGAGTAAATCAACTGCGCACTACCAACGTGAGGATCACCGCGAACAACAGAGCTGCTCACGCTGCAAGAGACAACACGGTAGAACTCAGCCATGCCCAGCAAAGAACAAGAGGTGCAGAAGATGCAACAAAATGGGACATTTTGAGGTAGCGTGTTACACTAAAACACTGAAAGAAGTCACTGTTACTCCCAGAGAAACAGACACACAGATGATCCGTTTTTCTTAGGAGCAATTAAAGAGGACAAAATGATTGAGCAAAACGGTCCAGATGAGGAGTGGTTGGTAAACTTACCTGTGAATGGCAGCAGAGTCAAAATAGACACAGGGGCCGACATCACCGTCATGGCACAGAGTGAATTAACAAGTTACAACACTGCCCCCGCCTGGTCACGTTGAGGAAATCACCCCAAATAACAAGTCCTGGAGGTAAAGTACAGTGCATAGGCAAGTTTCTGGCCATAAGCTACTACAAAGGGCAAAAGTACAAGTTTTGGATAACTGTTATAAGTGGCCCATATGTCCATAACCTGTTAGGTGGGAGTGTAGCTAAGAAAATGGGTCTGGTCAAGAGACTTGATAACATAAACATTGTTGAGGATGTTTTCGGGGACATTGGTCTTCTCAAATGTGACCCAGTCAAGATTGAACTGAAAGCCAAGGCCGAGCCCTATTCCCTAACTACACCACGTAGAGTGCCGTTCCCTCTTCTACCAAAAGTGGAGGCTGAATTAAAAGCATGTTAGAGCTGGATATCATTGAAGAAGTCACGGAGCCCACTGACTGGTGTGCCCCAATGGTACCAGTTGAAAAGAAAAACAGTGAAAAAGTGAGAATCTGTGTTGATTTAAAGCGTCTAAACAATGCAGTAAAGCGCGAAAGGTACATGTTGCCAACATTGGAGGATATCGCCCCAAAGCTTTCAGGAGCGAAAGTATTCTCAACGTTGGATGCATCATGTGGATTTTGGCAGATACCTCTGGAAGAGGGCTGCAGGAAGTTAACAACTTTCATCACGCCAATGGGCAGATTCTGCTTTAAGCGCTTACCTTTCGGAATCACTTCCGCCCCAGAAATATTTCAAAGACAAATGTCAGAGCTGCTAAAAGGACACGATGGGGTTGTCGTGGTGATGGATGACATTTTAGTCTTCGGGACAACAAAGGAGCAGCATGACAGACACTTGAGTGCAGTTTTGAGGACCATCAGAGAGAGTGGACTAAAACTAAACAAACAAAAATGCCATTTCGGGAAGTCAGAAATACAGTACTTTGGCCACATAATCAGTGCTGAGGGCATGAAGCCGGACCCAGACAAAGTAAAGGCAATCACCCAAATGCAAAGCCCAACAAATGTGGAAGAGCTGCGCCAGGTCCTGGGTCTCATCAACTATGTGGGTCGTTTTCTACCTGATCTATCATCAAAACTACATCCAATAACGGAACTTCTCAGAAAGGAGAGCAGGTGGACATGGGATTATGCACAAGAACAAGCATTCATGGAGGTTAAAGCTATGCTTGTAAAAGCACCGGCACTTGCATATTATGATCCACAACGAGAGACTGTCATTAGCGCAGACGCCAGCAGCTATGGGTTAGGAGCCACTCTACTTCAGGAGAATGGGGGCAAGTTAAAGCCAGTAGCTTTCTGTTCCCGCACTTTAACGGACGCTGAGAAACGATACTCACAAATCGAAAAAGAGTGCTTAGCTGGGGTATGGGCATGTGAGAGATTTGCACGCTATGTACAAGGGATGGATGGTTTCAGGTTGCAAACAGATCATAAACCTTTGGTTCCATTAATTAACACTTACGACATAGACAAAGCCCCGCCCAGGTGTCAAAGGCTTCTAATGCGCCTTCTGAGATTTCAGGTGGTTGCAGAGCACGTTCCAGGGAAACAACTGGCCGTAGCAGACGCGCTCTCCAGAAATCCACTGAGCTGCACAAGTGATAGCAGCACCGACAAAGAGGTACAAGTACATTTGCAATCTGTAGTGTCAAATGCACCAGTGTCACCACAAAAGCTGAGGGAAATCCAAGCAGCTACTCTACATGACGAAGAGTTAGTGAAAGTTACCAGCCTGATACAGAATGGCTGGCCCTTAAGAGAGGCATTACATCCTTCGCTTCATAGTTACTATTCAGCGCGCACACAACTCTCTGAGGCAGATGGACTAATATTGTTTCAGGACAGGATAGTCATACCAACTGCGCTCAGGTCAAATGTGCTAAAACGCATACATGAGGGTCACCAAGGACTAACTAAGTGTCGCGCCCGTGCAAGGATGTCAGTGTGGTGGCCGGGTATCAGCAACGAGATTACTCAGCTCATTACCACATGCAGGTTTTGTATTGAAAACAAACCTTCACAAAGACATGAGCCTCTTCTCACCACCCCTCTGCCACAAGGGCCCTGGCAGCGCATTGCAGCTGACTTATGTGAGTTTGAAAAACAAAACTACCTTATTGTGACAGATTACTATTCCAGAGATATTGAGATAGCAAACCTGTCCAATATTTCCAGTAGACAAGTTATTGGCAAACTCAAAAATATGTTCGTCCGATGGGGAATACCGCTGGAGCTGGTCAGCGATAATGCTACACAATTCACTTCAGAGGAATTCAAGCATTTCTGGGCAGAATATGGCTTTGCACATGTAACCTCCAGTCCACACTTTCCCCAATCAAACGGTGCCGCAGAGCGTGCTGTACAAACAGCAAAACACATCCTGAAACAACCTGACCCGCATTTGGCTCTGATGTGTTACCGAGCAACCCCATGCACTGCTACAGGCGTGTGTCCAGCCGTAGTTATGACAGGCAGGCACATCAGAACAACACTGCCAATGCTGGAGAACAAGATGAACAGTGTACCTATTGACAAGCAAGCCATTTTGAGAAAGGACCAGCAGTCCAAGTCTTCTTATAAGTTCTTCCATGACCGCCACCACTCAGCAAGACCTCTGGCTGAGCTGTTTCCAGGACAAGACGTCAAAGTAAAGTTGGATGGAGAGAAAACTTGGAAATCTTCAGGAAAAGTTCTTGGAAAGAGTGATGAGCCACGTTCATACTTGGTTCAAATGGACAATGGGACTATTTCACGTCGGAATAGGGGACACATTCAACTAGTTCCGGATTCAATCAGCTCACTACCACCACAAGAACTGCCACATGCGAGCTCACCAAAACAAACCAGCCCTGTGGATGCCACTCAGGAGGACAGTGAGTTGGATTCTGGACAATGTGTTGTGACAACAAAACTGTCACTGCATGAAACACCACGGAAAGATGTCCAGGTCACATCTAGAGGCCGAGTTATTAGAGCTCCTCTGAGATACAGGCAATAACTGGACACTGCAAAGTTAAACAGTTTTGTTAAAATGTTTTGTTCTGAAATTAATGCAGTAATATTGTTTTACATAGATAAGGCAAGATGCAGAGATAATCTTTTGTGTTTACAGAGATGTTTATTTCTTAAAAAAAAAAAAAAAAAAAGATATTGTATTTTGGGGATATTCCATTGTTTTCAAAGGGGGAGATGTCATGATGTACGCCGATAGGCCACTATATTGTGCGTCATCAGGCATGAGACGTTTTGGAGACATGTGTTTGGTCACGAGTGACTATGGTTCTGTACGAGAATAAAGTACACGTTTAGAAGTTACAACATCTCTTCATTTCTTCACATCGCTGTACACGAGAACTTTTGTCAGTGCAGCTTTTTTTTACAAATGGATCATTTCTTAAAACAACATAAAATCATATGTTATGTTGTTTATATGTCTTGTTTCGTCCACTTCCTGCAGTAAGAATAATAACAATGATAAAAACATACTTAGCAGCAGCAGCAGCAGCGGGAGCACCCTCCAGCTCAGGAAACACACAACCTCCATGAAACACACAACCTCCATGACTCCTGCAGAACAAGAAACACACAACCTCCATGATACCTGCAGAACAAGAAACACACAACCTCCATGACACCTGCAGAACAAGAAACACACAACCTCCATGACACCTGCAACAGAAGAAACACACAACCTCCATGACTCCTGCAGAATAAGAAACACACAACCTCCATGACACCTGCAACAGAAGAAACACACAACCTCCATGACACCTGCAACAGAAGAAACACACAACCTCCATGATACCTGCAGAACAAGAAACACACAACCTCCATGACACCTGCAGAACAAGAAACACACAACCTCCATGACACCTGCAACAGAAGAAACACACAACCTCCATGACTCCTGCAGAATAAGAAACACACAACCTCCATGACACCTGCAACAGAAGAAACACACAACCTCCATGACACCTGCAACAGAAGAAACACATAACCTCCATGACACCTGCAACAGAAGAAACACACAACCTCCATGACACCTGCAGAACAAGAAACACACAACCTCCATGACTCCTGCAGAATAAGAAACACACAACCTCCATGACACCTGCAACAGAAGAAACACACAACCTCCATGACACCTGCAGAACAAGAAACACACAACCTCCATGACACCTGCAACAGAAGAAACACACAATCTCCATGACTCCTGCAGAATAAGAAACACACAACCTCCATGACACCTGCAGAACAAGAAACACACAACCTCCATGACTCCTGCAGAATAAGAAACACACAATCTCCATGACACCTGCAACAGAAGAAACACACAATCTCCATGACTCCTGCAGAATAAGAAACACACAACCTCCATGACACCTGCAACAGAAGAAACACACAATCTCCATGACTCCTGCAGAATAAGAAACACACAACCTCCATGACTCCTGCAGAATAAGAAACACACAACCTCCATGACTCCTGCAGAATAAGAAACACACAACCTCCATGAATCCTGCAGAACAAGAAACACACAACCTCCATGACTCCTGCAGAATAAGAAACACACAACCTCCATGACTCCTGCAGAATAAGAAACACACAACCTCCATGAATCCTGCAGAACAAGAAACACACAACCTCCATGACTCCTGCAGAATAAGAAACACACAACCTCCATGACTCCTGCAGAATAAGAAACACACAACCTCCATGACAGGGACTGGACTCCTGCTGGGACTCTGAGGAGCACAGGGACTGGCCTCCTGCTGGGACTCTGAGGAGCACAGGGACTGAACTCCTGCTGGGACTCTGAGGAGCACAGGGACTGGCCTCCTGCTGGGACTCTGAGGAGCACAGGGACTGGCCTCCTGCTGGGACTCTGAGGAGCAACAGGGACTGACTCCTGCTGGGACTCTGAGGAGCACAGGGACTGGCCTCCTGCTGGGACTCTGAGGAGCACAGGGACTGGCCTCCTGCTGGGACTCTGAGGAGCACAGGGACTGACTCCTGCTGGGACTCTGAGGAGCACAGGGACTGGCCTCCTGCTGGGACTCTGAGGAGCACAGGGACTGGCCTCCTGCTGGGACTCTGAGGAGCACAGGGACTGGACTCCTGCTGGGACTCTGAGGAGCACAGGGACTGGCCTCCTGCTGGGACTCTGAGGAGCACAGGGACTGGCCTCCTGTTGGGACTCTGAGGAGCACAGGGACTGGCCTCCTGCTGGGACTCTGAGGAGCACAGGGACTGACTCCTGCTGGGACTCTGAGGAGCACAGGGACTGACTCCTGCTGGGACTCTGAGGAGCACAGGGACTGACTCCTGCTGGGACTCTGAGGAGCACAGGGACTGGCCTCCTGCTGGGACTCTGAGGAGCACAGGGACTGGCCTCCTGCTGGGACTCTGAGGAGCACAGGGACTGGACTCCTGCTGGGACTCTGAGGAGCACAGGGACTGGACTCCTGCTGGGACTCTGAGGAGCACAGGGACTGGACTCCTGCTGGGACTCTGAGGAGCACAGGGACTGGCCTCCTGCTGGGACTCTGAGGAGCACAGGGACTGGCCTCCTGCTGGGACTCTGAGGAGCACAGGGACTGGCCTCCTGCTGGGACTCTGAGGAGCACAGGGACTGGCCTCCTGCTGGGACTCTGAGGAGCACAGGGACTGGCCTCCTGCTGGGACTCTGAGGAGCACAGGGACTGGCCTCCTGCTGGGACTCTGAGGAGCACAGGGACTGGCCTCCTGCTGGGACTCTGAGGAGCACAGGGACTGGCCTCCTGCTGGGACTCTGAGGAGCACAGGGACTGACCTCCTGCTGGGACTCTGAGGAGCACAGGGACTGGCCTCCTGCTGGGACTCTGAAGAGCACAGGGACTGGCCTCCTGCTGGGACTCTGAGGAGCACAGGGACTGGCCTCCTGCTGGGACTCTGAGGAGCACAGGGTCTGGCCTCCTGCTGGGACTCTGAGGAGCACAGGGACTGGACTCCTGCTGGGACTCTGAGGAGCACAGGGACTGGACTCCTGCTGGGACTCTGAGGAGCACAGGGACTGGCCTCCTGCTGGGACTCTGAGGAGCACAGGGACTGGCCTCCTGCTGGTCCCAGAGTCAGAGTTCTGTGTAGCTGTAGTACTTTGACGAGTCTTGTACAAACTGTGTTTTATAAATAAACTCTCTTCACCTTTAAAACCTTCGACAGCTGCTGTTGTTGCTAATACACTTTACAAGTTTTACTTTTGCAACTATTTGCTGGTTTTCCTTCGGCAGAACAGTTCATTTAACAAGTCTTATCCACTCAGATCAAGAATCTCAGGTCATTTAAACTCCTTTTGGTATTTAATTAAAAACACATCGATCACAAAACCAGAGGGTTCCAGAGTCTTCTCGACACACTCGGCTTTAACCTCACATTGAAAAAGTCGAGCTACTCATTTATACATCTGTGCACGGTCAATACAAGAGTCTAAAGCGTTTCTAATCTTGTCTTGTTGAACTTGGAGAAATCTCTGTGTCAGATTGAAATCAAGCCGTGCATGACTGCCCCAGCTAATGCTAACCTGCCCCAGCCTCAGGGACAATCACTGCATTGACATGAAGCAGAGCGATACTCTTACCTTCACAAAATCTCCCTCCCTCTGTTTTTTACGGACACGTCCTCGTTCTTTCTTGGACTTTACAGGCCAGAATCAAACCCCATGTTCTCCGCACGCTCCATCGCTCTGCCAGACTTTTAAGTGAAGTTGTTTTCTCTCTGACACTAAAGTGCACTGAAGCTGCCGTGTCCGAGGCCTCTCTCTGCCCCCTCGTCTCGGTCCTTATGCTCCACTGAGTCGCCGTCTGTGCGTCACTTTTTGTTTTCAGAGTGGTCCAGTCCCCCCTCCGCCCGTCGTCCCCTTCCCCACCTCCTCTTCCTGTACCCTGCCCTTCGCTGCAGCACCTTAAACAGTGAGAATAACTTTTCCATTGTGAGGTCTGATGGCGAGTCTCCAAGTCCATATTGTTCTGCTCCAGAGATAACATAAAAGCAAGACAGGAAGTTTATGACAATGTTGGGATTTAGACTCTTGAAATGGGTTTGTGCTCGGAAAGGAATGTCCAACGCGGTCATTCCAAGGCATTGTCTTTGGGCGTGTTGTAAAGAAAAGCACGGGATAAATAGTTTGGAATCGCCACGGTAACAGCGGCTAGTCATGCACCGTGTGTCGATGTGTGAGTGGATCTACTCTAGCTCCGATCTTAGACATGTTTTGTTTTGGAAGTTTGTTTGAAAGAATTAGCTCAAGAAGGAGTGAAACTTTATTTCTTTTGGCAGGAAATGAAATGACTTTGAAAAAGGGCAAATGTTCTTCTGTTTGGCATTTATCTGTGTTTTCAATTTAACTATCAAGATTTGAATGTATATTATTGTTCTGAAACTTGGTTGTAGGAAAAACAATGAGTTGAATAAATTGTTAATAACAGGCCAGGATTGGGCTTTTCTTGAAAATTCAACCTGTTAGAAAACATTTTACCAATAACTCATGAGTCAGTGGTTGATGAAACAAAAGGATGTAGAAATAATTAACTCATAAACTAATTATCTGATCTGCAGTTACATTTTAGGAGTCCCACAAGGTTCTGTACTTGGTCCCACAAGGTTCTGTACTTGGTCACAGAGAGGGACAGGAAGAAGCTGGAACATCAGGAAGTCCAGCTCAGTCCTGGGCTGTTCCCTGGACACAGTGCAGCAGGTGGGAGACAGGAGGGTCCTGAGCAAACTAACATCTATGCTGGACCATGACTGTCGCCCCCTGCAGGACACTCTCTCTGCTCTGGAGAGCAGCTTCAGTGACAGACTAATTCACCCTCGCTGTGTGAAGGAGAGGTTTCACAGGTCTTTCCTTCCTGCTGCTGTCAAACTGTACAACGAGAATGTGTAACAGGAACTGCTGAGTCTGCACAAGTGTTTCTGATAATTCACTAGTAACTTTGTCACTAGTCACTTTACCTGTTATCAGTACTACTACAGTACTACATATCTGATATTTACTGTTATCAGTACTACTACAGTACTACATATCTGATATTTACTGTTATCAGTACTACTACAGTACTACATATCTGATATTTACTGTTATCAGTACTACTACAGTACTACATATCTGATATTTACTGTTATCAGTACTACTACAGTACTACATATCTGTACTACAGTACTACATATCTGATATTTCTGCCTTCCACCGTCACTTTACCTGTTGATATCTTACTGTATTATTCATATCCATCTGATAATTCTCCCATTCAAGTCACTTTACCTGTTGATATTATTTCTGATGTTTATTCTGCTCATATTCTCCGCTGCTAATGTATAATATAGACATCTGTAAATACTCCGAACCAAGTGCAATTATAGCCCAGAGTTTCTTATTTTATTTTATTTTATCTTACATTTATTGTCTATTATCTTAAATAATAGACTTTGATGTGTGCAATCTGAGTGCTCTTCCTTTCTCTGCTGTAATGCGCAACGATGACACTGAAATCTCTCCACTGTGAGACTAATAAAGGTTTATCTTATCTTATCTTAACGTTTTTGTTGATAAGAACATAATGGATAATGTATAGTTGGCAGGTCATTATCGGAAAATAAGTACCGACCGAAGGATAATCCTGAATTCTGTATAATGCATTCTCTGATTAACATTTAAATGTGTTGATTGATTTTTTTTCGTGTCTAATAAGCTAGCTCCGTTAGCTTCTCTGCAGAGACAGTAGTAGCTCCTAAGTGGCTGGAACTACTGTCGGAGTAATCTACACATCTGAATTACAAGCAGAGGGTGCGTTGCCAAAGGGCAGCGGTCATTGTTGTTTTGAGAGGTCGGTTATCAAGAAATAATGACCGGTAGAACGTTTTGAAATGACATTTAAATCAATGGAGCGTTCTCCTGCTGCTGTGAGGAGCGTGTGATCAATCATTTTAATGCATCAGTTTTAAATAAAGCTTTTTTGGACTCTCAAACACTTACACAAACTTTACACCCCCAATGTGGAACCTGGTGTTCACTGTGGTCTCCCATCACAGCACTAACCAGGCCCTGCGCTGCTTAGCTTCGAAGGTCTGTCATGGATCTGTCTTTCACCTGAAGGTTTCTCCGCAGCGTTTGAAAGTCCTCCACATTTTTCATCCTGTTATTGTGCCGAGGTTTTAAAGATTGATTGGAGACATTTTAAAATAATCACGGAGGAAAACAAAGCTGTGAATGTGTTTTGTGCAGACGCAGAGAAAGACTCAGATTTACTGAAGACGATAAAACATCAAACCAGATAAATATCTGTTATTTAAAGCCTCCGAGTTGTAAATGTAATAAATGTTGTTAATGACTGTTTCAAAACTGTCTAAAGTGAGGACAGGACACATGAATAATAATAATAATGAATCTGACACATTCTGTTAAACCAGATTATCCAACAGGATAAAACAAAAAGATGTACTTTTAAAAGAAACAGAAATGTCTCTTTGGAGAAAATAAACAGTTCTTAAATCAGACTAAATGTCTTTGTCTCGTTGTAGAAACTGCTTTAACAGAACGAGTCAGAATAGACCGAGCCTTAATGTACAGACCGAGCCTTAATGTACAGACCGAGCCTTAATGTACAGACCGAGCCTTAATGCACAGACCGAGCCTTAATGTACAGACCGAGCCTTAATGTACAGACCGAGCCTTAATGCACAGACCGAGCCTTAATGCACAGACCGAGCCTTAATGTACAGACCGAGCCTTAATGCACAGACCGAGCCTTAATGCACAGACCGAGCCTTAATGTACAGACCGAGCCTTAATGCACAGACCGAGCCTTAATGCACAGACCGAGCCTTAATGTACAGACCGAGCCTTAATGCACAGACCGAGCCTTAATGCACAGACTGAGCCTTAATGTACAGACCGAGCCTTAATGCACAGACCGAGCCTTAATGCACAGACCGAGCCTTAATGTACAGACCGAGCCTTAATGCACAGACCGAGCCTTAATGCACAGACTGAGCCTTAATGCACAGACCGAGCCTTAATGCACAGACCGAGCCTTAATGTACAGACCGAGCCTTAATGCACAGACCGAGCCTTAATGCACAGACCGAGCCTTAATGTACAGACCGAGCCTTAATGCACAGACCGAGCCTTAAGCACAGACCGAGCCTTAATGTACAGACCGAGCCTTAATGCACAGACCGAGCCTTAATGCACAGACTGAGCCTTAATGTACAGACCGAGCCTTAATGCACAGACCGAGCCTTAATGTACAGACTGAGCCTTAATGTACAGACTGAGCCTTAATGTACAGACCGAGCCTTAATGCACAGACCGAGCCTTAATGTACAGACCGAGCCTTAATGCTCAGACCGAGCCTTAATGCACAGACCGAGCCTTAATGCACAGACCGAGCCTTAATGCACAGACCGAGCCTTAATGTACAGACCGAGCCTTTATGTACAGACCGAGCCTTAATGCACAGACCGAGCCTTAATGCTCAGACCGAGCCTTAATGTACAGACCGAGCCTTAATGTACAGACCGAGCCTTAATGCACAGACCGAGCCTTAAAGCACAGACCGAGCCTTAATGCACAGACCGAGCCTTAATGCACAGACCGAGCCTTAATGCACAGACCGAGCCTTAATGCACAGACCGAGCCTTAAAGCACAGACCGAGCCTTAATGCACAGACCGAGCCTTAATGCACAGACCGAGCCTTAATGCACAGACTGAGCCTTAATGCACAGACCGAGCCTTAATGCACAGACAGAGCCTTAATGCACAGACCGAGCCTTAATGTACAGACCGAGCCTTAATGTACAGACCGAGCCTTAATGTACAGACCGAGCCTTAATGCACAGACAGAGTCTTAATGTACAGACCGAGCCTTAATGCACAGACCGAGCCTTAATGCACAGACCGAGCCTTAATGCACAGACCGAGCCTTAATGCACAGACCGAGCCTTAATGCACAGACCGAGCCTTAATGCACAGACCGAGCCTTAATGCACAGACCGAGCCTTAATGCACAGACTGAGCCTTAATGCACAGACCGAGCCTTAATGTACAGACCGAGCCTTAATGCACAGACCGAGCCTTAATACACAGACCGAGCCTTAATGCACAGACCGAGCCTTAATGTACAGACCGAGCCTTAATGCACAGACTGAGCCTTAATGCACAGACCGAGCCTTAATGTACAGACCGAGCCTTAATGCACAGACCGAGCCTTAATACACAGACCGAGCCTTAATGCTCAGACCGAGCCTTAATGCACAGACTGAGCCTTAATGCACAGACCGAGCCTTAATGCACAGACCGAGCCTTAATGTACAGACCGAGCCTTAATGTACAGACCGAGCCTTAATGCACAGACCGAGCCTTAATGCACAGACCGAGCCTTAATGCACAGACCGAGCCTTAATGCACAGACCGAGCCTTAATGCACAGACTGAGCCTTAATGTACAGACTGAGCCTTAATGTACAGACCGAGCCTTAATGCACAGACTGAGCCTTAATGCACAGACCGAGCCTTAATGCACAGACCGAGCCTTAATGCACAGACCGAGCCTTAATGCACAGACCGAGCCTTAATGCACAGACCGAGCCTTAATGCACAGACTGAGCCTTAATGTACAGACTGAGCCTTAATGTACAGACCGAGCCTTAATGCACAGACTGAGCCTTAATGCACAGACCGAGCCTTAATGTACAGACCGAGCCTTAATGTACAGACCGAGCCTTAATGTACAGACCGCCGAGCCTTAATGCACAGACCGAGCCTTAATGCACAGACCGAGCCTTAATGCACAGACCGAGCCTTAATGTACAGACTGAGCCTTAATGTACAGACCGAGCCTTAATGTACAGACCGAGCCTTAATGCACAGACCGAGCCTTAATGTACAGACTGAGCCTTAATGTACAGACTGAGCCTTAATGTACAGACCGAGCCTTAATGCACAGACCGAGCCTTAATGTACAGACCGAGCCTTAATGTACAGACCGAGCCTTAATGCACAGACTGAGCCTTAATGTACAGACCGAGCCTTAATGTACAGACCGAGCCTTAATGCACAGACCGAGCCTTAATGCTCAGACCGAGCCTTAATGTACAGACCGAGCCTTAATGCACAGACTGAGCCTTAATGCACAGACCGAGCCTTAATGCACAGACCGAGCCTTAATGTACAGACCGAGTAAGTAAGGTTAATATATGTTTTATTATCTGACTCTCGTCTGTGTCCAATGCTTTTGAGATATTTGTGAAGTATGTTCATGTTTGACTTGGTTTTGTGTGATACAGGCTGTGGACAGATTGTCATGGTAACGGTCTGAGATGGGAAAATATCAGACCGGTAATCAACCAATCAGAGCGCACGTACGGTCCAAGTCATATAATAATGCCTCATATTTTATCTTTTTTTGCAGTGTTTTTTTTAATCCACAAACGAAGAGTGAACTGCAGAGTTTACTCAGAGATTTTAGAGATAGATCTGAAAGAATACGATACTACGATACCCAACCCTAAACATAAACATGTTCATGTGTCCATGGATCTATTACTGCACAGCATTAGGGTTTAATCCCGGGATACGGGATTCCCGGGAAATCTGATGAAAACTATTTCCCGATTCCCGGGAAATGTTATGACGGGAAACGGGAAATGAAAGTAAAAAAAAAATACAGTGCGCTCCTATTATAAAGCACGTTTATTATTGTTCAAAGTTCAAACATATTTAATTTACAATCCACATGTCTACAGCTGAGAGGATGGCTCATAAATTGTGTTTTTGAAACAAATATGGGTCTTAATCGCGCTAAACCACGACTTGTAATGAGGCCAGCCTCAGGGTACGGGGCACATGTGAGCCCAGAATTTGGTTACGTCCAATTCTATCAGAAAGCTCCTTTCTTTTTTTCCATCTGCTAAGGGCAGCAACAGGTTTGGCTAACATACAGATAACACATTTTAAAATCATATAAAATGCATTTAGGGTAATGTTCTGCTTCCAATGACGATAGGAATGATAAGGAAGAGAGGAGAAGAGTAAGAAGGTTGATATTAGAAATTGGATGCGCCCGAGAGTCGGCTGCAGCAAAAACACAGAGAAGTTTATGGAGGTGGCACCCGTTTTGTTTTACGCTTTAAAACTCTTTGGGCTTATTTCCAAATGGGGGATTACATATCTACGCTCAAACTATTATCTGGACTTAAACATGAAACTGGTCTGAACTGAAGTGGTCTGTGCTGTTCATTAATAACTAAGGTAAGACCCATAACACAATTGGAAATGTGCCTTTTACGAACTTTTGCGTTTTGTTTGAGCAAACAATGCGGGCCATGGAAAACATTCTGCTGTAGCCAAACTAATTGTGAATAAGCCGCTCTGTAGGTTCTGTTGATTTATATGATATATGTTCATCTGACAGGGCTGAAGTCAGTGCCTCCAAACCACACGTCACTGGTCGACAAGTGGATTACAGACATTTAGAATCTCATAATAGTGAAATTCCTGAAGAAAGCCCATCAACAAAACGTCTGAAAACGCTATGGCTACTTTAGCAAAGCTAGCAAGTCACTTGGTGAAACACTAGTGGAGACGGCAGCTTTTGTTGGATTATATATTTGAGTGATATCATACATTACTTGGGCTAAAAACAACAGCTATTTCCCGGGAAAGGTGTCGTCTTTTCCCGGGATTTGATACGTCTCATTTTCGGGAAAAATATTAAACCCTACACAGCATTCATATAGTCTATACTTTACCCTGGTCCTGCAGAGAACCTACAGATAACCTACAGAGAACCTACAGATAACCTGACAGAGAACCTACAGAGAACCTACAGAGAACCTACAGAGAACCTACAGAGAACCTACAGAGAACCTGACAGAGAACCTACAGAGAACCTACAGAGAACCTGACAGAGAACCTGAAAGAGAACCTGACAGAGAACCTGACAGAGAACCTACAGAGAACCTGACAGAGAACCTACAGAGAACCTACAGAGAACCTACAGAGAACCTACAGAGAACCTGACAGAGAACCTACAGAGAACCTACAGAGAACCTGACAGAGAACCTGAAAGAGAACCTGACAGAGAACCTGACAGAGAACCTACAGAGAACCTGACAGAGAACCTACAGAGAACCTACAGAGAACCTACAGAGAACCTACAGAGAACCTACAGAGAACCTACAGAGAACCTACAGAGAACCTGACAGAGAACCTGAAAGAGAACCTGACAGAGAACCTGACAGAGAACCTGACAGAGAACCTACAGAGAACCTGACAGAGAACCTACAGAGAACCTACAGAGAACCTACAGAGAACCTGACAGAGAACCTACAGAGAACCTACAGAGAACCTGACAGAGAACCTGACAGAGAACCTGACAGAGAACCTACAGAGAACCTACAGAGAACCTGACAGAGAACCTACAGAGAACCTACAGAGAACCTGACAGAGAACCTACAGAGAACCTGACAGAGAACCTGAAAGAGAACCTGACAGAGAACCTACAGAGAACCTACAGAGAACCTGACAGAGAACCTGACAGAGAACCTGACAGAGAACCTACAGAGAACCTGACAGAGAACCTACAGAGAACCTACAGAGAACCTGACAGAGAACCTACAGAGAACCTGACAGAGAACCTACAGAGAACCTGACAGAGAACCTACAGAGAACCTACAGAGAACCTGACAGAGAACCTACAGAGAACCTGACAGAGAACCTGAAAGAGAACCTGACAGAGAACCTACAGAGAACCTGACAGAGAACCTACAGAGAACCTGACAGAGAACCTACAGAGAACCTGACAGAGAACCTGACAGAGAACCTGACAGAGAACCTACAGAGAACCTGACAGAGAACCTACAGAGAACCTGACAGAGAACCTGACAGAGAACCTACAGAGAACCTGACAGAGAACCTACAGAGAACCTACAGAGAACCTACAGAGAACCTACAGCTTTCATAAAGGAGGATTCTATCCATGTGTCAAAGTGAGTAGGAGCCACAGTGAGCTCTTCTGTTGTGTTTCTTTGAGCAGCAGGTCCAGAGCCCCGCCCCTCTATGTGAGGTCAGAGGTCACCTATAGATGCTGATGAGGTCAGAGGTCACCTGTCGATGCTGATGGGGTCAAAGGTCACCTGTCGATGCTGATGGGGCCAGGGGTCAGAGGTCAGAGGTCACCTGTTGATGCTGATGGGGTCAGAGGTCAGAGGTCACCTGTCAATGCTGATGGCGCAGAGGTTGAGGATGCTCGCCGTGCACATCATGACGTCCAGAGTCAGGAGGACGTCACAGTGGATCAGACTGAAACGCCACTCCCCCACCACCTGGACAGACACCAGGAGAACATGCAACTGTGAACCTCACATGGTCTACAGACACCAGGAGAACATGCAACTGTGAACCTCACATGGTCTACAGACACCAGGAGAACATGCAACTGTGAACCTCACATGGTCTACAGCAGGGGTCGGCAACCTAGGGCACGCGTGCCACATGTGGCACGCCGCGGAATAAACACTGGCACGCCGGCACCTCCGCATTATTCTCACTGTATCTGTCCTGTTTTAAAAAGAAGAGCATCTCCCTCTTTGTCTGAGCGCTTTTTGGAGGCCGGCACTAGGACCCAGCGGACACCACTGCGGGGATAAGCTGCTTCCTTCACACACACACACACACGTGTAGCTGTGGGTGGAGCCAGGAGCAGCAGCTGCAGGTGTATGCGAGATTTAAACTTCTTTTTGCACATTCAAAGTAGTAACTGGTGTGCCATTCACTGCAGACGCCTCCTACAATCACTGTGACACGCTGTCAACACTGTGTGTGTGAAATCAAAGAGGGAACTGGTGAGTTTAAGCATTTTTGTGCTGCACAGAGCTAGGATGCTAGCGCTAGCCTCTGATGTGATGTTGAATTCGAATATTGTTGTTCTCATGTTGATTCCCTGTGTAGCCGACTATGCCTTTTTATGTGCTCATGTATGGTTACCAGAGCATGACATTTGCTTGTGTGCTCTTGAACCAAAAGTATTAATACATTTATTTTTGATATGTGCACTGAACTGAATGAATTGTATTGTGATTTATGGTGCAGAGGATTAATTGTGAATTATGAAGTGAGAATGAGCTCTCTGATTATTGAGTATATATTTATTGTACATGTATTTTTATAGTAGTGATGTATTGCTAAATGAAACTGTTGGATATTTATATTGGTCCTGTCATGCAGGCCAGGTTCCTTGGATCCGTCCGTCCATATGGACTTCTTCTGATGGCGAGCTGCCCCAGGCCGAGAACCTAGAGATCATCAACCCTACAGTGCGGTAGGAGGCGAGCAGTCTCCCTCATACAACACCACAAACTGATACAATAACCTGAACTGGATTACTGCAAAGTACACGCTCCACCTTTTCAAACCAACCTGCCAAACCCAACTCTCAACCAGACTCTCTCACTCAAAACCCGTTCAATTATTTTTTGTAAATATTGTGAATGTTGTGAATGTGTGTGTGGTGTGTGTGTGTGTAATCTATCCCCTGCCTTTGTAAATATCTATTAGAGGTGCAACGGTTCATCACTGATCCGGGATCTGTTCAGATCAACGTCTTTGGTTCGGTACAGACGTGATCCGCGGTTTGATTTATGAAAAAAAAGTTGTGCGCTCCCACTATGTTGTTTAGTTCACACACAGCGTAATCATGGCGAGCGGAGGAACTTGAAAGCCCTGCGTCATTTAAATCCCCGGTATGAGAGCATTTTGGCTCCACTGTAACTACACTGATGATTAAATAGTCGACAAATGTAATCACTGATCCTCCTGCAGGTGCTGAGTCCACATGAGCAGAGTTTATTACAAAGACAAAACTTTTTAGTTGAAAAATGAACTGAACCGTGGCCTTTGAACCGAGGAACGATCCAAACCGGGATTTTTTTTCAAACCGTTGCATCCCTAATATCTATCTTTGAACATAATTCACAGCTGGATCATACCACTGTCTTTGTTATCTGTGATTTTAAACACCTCTCCCTCTGTGAGCCCAATCTTAGCTTCTGGTCTGAGCCCAAATACAATCAGTTTACTGGACTTACTATTGTTATATGCTACACTAGCTGTTTTTTCAGTCTTTGAAATGTTGATGTGGCTAAATTATTTTGAATACAGATACTGTTATTGTTGAGAAAAAAATTCCAGGTATATTGGAAATGTTTATGTATTTTGTGTCATATTTTAACTGCGTTCATCGATGGTAATGGCACACTAGATGAGAAGAACATTTCAAACTGGCACTCCATGTCACAAACGTTGTCGACCCCTGGTCTACAGACACCAGGAGAACATGCAACTGTGAACCTCAAATGGTCTACAGACACCAGGAGAACATGCAACTGTGAACCTCACATGGTCTCCAGGACGAATAAAGTTAAAGATATTAAAGAAGAACTATCATGCATTATTTTGGCCATATCTAGTTTTCCTGAAATAACATTTTAAAAGTTTATAGACCCAGGACTGAGGCTGTAGACCCAGGACTGAGGCTGTAGACCCAGGACTGAGGCTGTAGACCCAGGACTGAGACTGTAGACCCAGGACTGAGGCTGTAGACCCAGGACTGAGGCTGTAGATCCAGGACTGAGGCTGTAGACCCAGGACTGAGGCTGTAGATCCAGGACTGAGACTGTAGACCCAGGACTGAGGCTGTAGACCCAGGACTGAGGCTGTAGACCCAGGACTGAGGCTGTAGACCCAGGACTGAGGCTGTAGACCCAGGACTGAGGCTGTAGACCCAGGACTGAGGCTGTAGACCCAGGACTGAGGCTGTAGACCCAGGACTGAGGCTGTAGATCCAGGACTGAGACTGTAGACCCAGGACTGAGGCTGTAGACCCAGGACTGAGGCTGTAGACCCAGGACTGAGGCTGTAGACCCAGGACTGAGGCTGTAGACCCAGGACTGAGGCTGTAGATCCAGGACTGAGACTGTAGACCCAGGACTGAGTCTGTAGACCCAGGACTGAGACTGTAGACCCAGGACTGAGGCTGTAGACCCAGGACTGAGGCTGTAGACCCAGGACTGAGGCTGTAGACCCAGGACTGAGACTGTAGACCCAGGACTGAGACTGTAGACCCAGGACTGAGACTGTAGACCCAGGACTGAGACTGTAGACCCAGGACTGAGACTGTAGACCCAGGACTGAGGCTGTAGACCCAGGACTGAGGCTGTAGACCCAGGACTGAGGCTGTAGACCCAGGACTGAGGCTGTAGACCCAGGACTGAGGCTGTAGACCCAGGACTGAGGCTGTAGACCCAGGACTGAGGCTGTAGACCCAGGACTGAGGCTGTAGACCCAGGACTGAGGCTGTAGACCCAGGACTGAGGCTGTAGACCCAGGACTGAGACTGTAGATCCAGGACTGAGGCTGTAGACCCAGGACTGAGACTGTAGACCCAGGACTAATGGTGCGTTCAGACCGGATCATGCTGCGTCGGCTTTCAATGCAAAGTCAATGGTGACGCGGGTTCGAGTGTCACAACGCACGGACTGTTCTGTAGAGACGCACGGACTGTTCAGTAGAGACGCACGGACTGTTCAGTAGAGACGCACGGACTGTTCAGTAGAGACGCACGGACTGTTCAGTAGAGACGCACGGACTGTTCAGTAGAGACGCACGGACTGCTCTGTAGAGACGCACGGACTGTTCTGTAGAGACGCACGGACTGTTCAGTAGAGACGCACGGACTGTTCAGTAGAGACGCACGGACTGTTCAGTAGAGACGCACGGACTGTTCAGTAGAGACACACGGACTGTTCTGTAGAGACGCACGGACTGTTCAGTAGGGACGCACGGACTGTTCTGTAGAGACGCACACGGACTGTTCTGTAGAGACGCACGGACTGTTCAGTAGAGACGCACGGACTGTTCAGTAGAGACGCACGGACTGTTCAGTAGAGACGCACGGACTGTTCAGTAGAGACGCACGGACTGTTCAGTAGAGACACACGGACTGTTCTGTAGAGACGCACGGACTGTTCAGTAGGGACGCACGGACTGTTCTGTAGAGACGCACGGACTGTTCAGTGGAGACGCACGGACTGTTCAGTAGAGACGCACGGACTGTTCAGTAGAGACGCACGGACTGTTCAGTAGAGACGCACGGACTGTTCAGTAGAGACGCACGGACTGCTCAGTAGAGACGCACAGACTGTTCAGTAGAGACGCACGGACTGTTCAGTAGGGACGCACGGACTGTTCAGTAGAGACGCACTGACTGTTCAGTAGAGACACACGGACTGTTCAGTAGAGACGCACGGACTGTTCAGTAGAGACGCACGGACTGTTCAGTAGAGACGCACAGACTGTTCAGTAGAGACGCACGGACTGTTCAGTAGGGACGCACGGACTGTTCAGTAGAGACGCACAGACTGCTCAGTAGAGACACACGGACTGTTCAGTAGAGACGCACGGACTGTTCAGTAGAGACGCACGGACTGTTCAGTAGAGACACACGGACTGTTCAGTAGAGACGCACGGACTGTTCAGTGGAGACGCACGGACTGTTCAGTAGAGACGCACGGACTGTTCAGTAGAGACGCACGGACTGTTCAGTAGAGACGCACGGACTGTTCAGTAGAGACGCACGGACTGTTCTGTAGAGACGCACGGACTGTTCTGTAGAGACGCACGGACTGTTCAGTAGAGACGCACGGACTGTTCAGTAGAGACGCACGGACTGCTCAGTAGAGACGCACGGACTGTTCAGTAGAGACGCACGGACTGTTCAGTAGAGACGCACGGACTGTTCTGTAGAGACGCACAGACTGCTCAGTAGAGACGCACGGACTGTTCAGTAGAGACACACGGACTGTTCAGTAGAGACACACGGACTGTTCAGTAGAGACGCACGGACTGTTCAGTAGGGACGCACGGACTGTTCTGTAGAGACGCACGGACTGTTCAGTCGAGACGCACGGACTGTTCAGTGGAGACGCACGGACTGTTCAGTAGAGACGCACGGACTGTTCAGTAGAGACGCACGGACTGTTCAGTAGAGACGCACGGACTGTTCTGTAGAGACGCACGGACTGTTCTGTAGAGACGCACGGACTGTTCAGTAGAGACGCACGGACTGCTCTGTAGAGACGCACGGACTGTTCAGTAGAGACGCACGGACCGTTCAGTAGAGACACACGGACTGCTCAGTAGACGCACAGACTGTTCTGTAGAGACGCACGGACTGTTCTGTAGAGACGCACGGACCGTTCAGTAGAGACGCACGGACTGTTCAGTAGAGACGCACAGACTGTTCTGTAGAGACGCACGGACCGTTCAGTAGAGACGCACGGACTGTTCAGTAGAGACGCACGGACTGTTCTGTAGAGACGCACGGACTGTTCTGTAGACGCGCACGGACTGTTCAGTAGACGCGCACGGACTGTTCAGTAGAGACGCACGGACTGTTCAGTAGAGACGCACGGACTGTTCAGTAGAGACGCACAGACTGTTCAGTAGAGACGCACGGACTGTTCAGTAGAGACGCACGGACTGTTCAGTAGACACGCACGGACTGTTCAGTAGAGACGCACGGACTGTTCAGTAGAGACGCACGGACTGTTCTGTAGAGACGCACGGACTGTTCAGTAGAGACGCACGGACTGTTCAGTAGAGACGCACGGACTGTTCAGTAGAGACGCACGGACTGTTCAGTAGGGACGCACGGACAGTTCAGTAGAGACACACGGACTGTTCAGTAGAGACGCACGGACTGTTCAGTGGAGACGCACGGACTGTTCAGTAGAGACGCACGGACTGTTCAGTAGAGACGCACGGACTGTTCAGTAGAGACGCACGGACTGTTCAGTAGAGACGCACGGACTGTTCTGTAGAGAGCACGGACTGTTCTGTAGAGACGCACGGACTGTTCAGTAGAGACACACGGACTGTTCAGTAGAGACGCACGGACTGTTCAGTTAGAGACGCACGGACTGTTCAGTAGAGACGCACGGACTGTTCAGTAGAGACGCACGGACTGCTCTGTAGAGACGCACGGACTGTTCAGTAGAGACGCACGGACTGTTCAGTAGAGACGCACGGACTATTCAGTAGAGACGCACGGACTGCTCAGTAGAGACGCACGGACTGTTCAGTAGAGACGCACGGACTGTTCAGTAGAGACGCACGGACTGTTCAGTAGAGACGCACGGACTATTCAGTAGAGACGCACGGACTGTTCAGTAGAGACGCACGGACTGTTCAGTAGAGACGCACGGACTGTTCAGTAGAGACGCACGGACTGTTCAGTAGAGACGCACGGACTGTTCAGTAGAGACGCACGGACTGTTCTGTAGAGACGCACGGACTGCTCAGTAGAGACGCACGGACTGTTCAGTAGAGACGCACGGACTGTTCAGTAGAGACGCACGGACTGTTCTGTAGAGACGCACGGACTGCTCAGTAGAGACGCACGGACTGTTCAGTAGAGACGCACGGACTTGGCGGGAAAGTCGAAGGGGAGGAGCAGGAGCTGAAAATAGACGCCCACAGGATATAAACTTTGTTCAACCTTTCCTCGGGACGCTCGTGCAGCGACCAATCAGAGAGCTGCAAAGTGGTCACAGGGACATTAGTGTCTGAGCAAGCAGACTGAACATACTGCATACAGCCAAAACAGGAGCTAAACCAGGATTAAACCAGGACTAAACCAGGACTAAACCAGGACTAAACCAGGACTAAACCAGGACTGACAAAGGGGGTCAGTGCTTGTGAACGTGTGAGTTTTCATGCTCCCGTGACTTTATGCAACTGCTTCGAGCGTGTTCGACAATTCGGAAATACTGTTTAATAATAAAATAAACATACTGCGCACCTCCGTGAACACATACTGCTGTTATATAAAGTCACCTCCGTGAACACATACTGCTGTTATATAAAGTCACCTCCGTGAACACATACTGCTGTTATATAAAGTCACCTCCATGAACACATACTGCTGTTATATAAAGTCACCTCCGTGAACACATACTGCTGTTATATAAAGTCACCTCCGTGAACACATACTGCTGTTATATAAAGTCACCTCCGTGAACACATACTGCTGTTATATAAAGTCACCTCCGTGAACACATACTGCTGTTATATAAAGTCACCTCCGTGAACACATACTGCTGTTATATAAAGTCACCTCCGTGAACACATACTGCTGTTATATAAAGTCACCTCCGTGAACACATACTGCTGTTATATAAAGTCACTGTGAACACATACTGCTGTTATATAAAGTCACCTCCGTGAACACATACTGCTGTTATATAAAGTCACCGTGAACACATACTGCTGTTATATAAAGTCACCTCCGTGAACACATACTGCTGTTATATAAAGTCACCTCCGTGAACACATACTGCTGTTATATAAAGTCACCTCCGTGAACACATACTGCTGTTATATAAAGTCACCTCTGTGAACACATACTGCTGTTATATAAAGTCACCTCCATGAACACATACTGCTGTTATATAAAGTCACCTCCGTGAACACATACTGCTGTTATATAAAGTCACCTCCGTGAACACATACTGCTGTTATATAAAGTCACCTCTGTGAACACATACTGCTGTTATATAAAGTCACCTCCATGAACACATACTGCTGTTATATAAAGTCACCTCCATGAACACATACTGCTGTTATATAAAGTCACCTCCGTGAACACATACTGCTGTTATATAAAGTCACCTCCGTGAACACATACTGCTGTTATATAAAGTCACCTCTGTGAACACATACTGCTGTTATATAAAGTCACCTCCATGAACACATACTGCTGTTATATAAAGTCACCTCCGTGAACACATGCTGCTGTTATATAAAGTCACCTCCGTGAACACATACTGCTGTTATATAAAGTCACCTCCGTGAACACATACTACTGTTATATAAAGTCACCTCTGTGAACACATACTGCTGTTATATAAAGTCACCGTGAACACATACTGCTGTTATATAAAGTCACCTCCGTGAACACATACTGCTGTTATATAAAGTCACCTCCGTGAACACATACTGCTGTTATATAAAGTCACCTCCGTGAACACATACTGCTGTTATATAAAGTCACCTCCGTGAACACATACTGCTGTTATATAAAGTCACCTCCGTGAACACATACTACTGTTATATAAAGTCACCTCCGTGAACACATACTGCTGTTATATAAAGTCACCTCCGTGAACACATACTGCTGTTATATAAAGTCACCTCCGTGAACACATACTGCTGTTATATAAAGTCACCTCCGTGAACACATACTGCTGTTATATAAAGTCACCTCCGTGAACACATACTGCTGTTATATAAAGTCACCTCCGTGAACACATACTGCTGTTATATAAAGTCACCATGAACACATACTGCTGTTATATAAAGTCTGTGAAGATCTCTGAACAAAGACACGCTGCAAAGCTGCATATTGGAGAAGATCTTTACACAAGAAGCCGCTAGCATAGCTCTGTTAGCATCAGAGCCTGCTACTTCCGCCACTTCCGGCACGGTGGGCGGCATGGGCGGCATGGTGGCTGAGTGGATAGCACTCTCGCCTCTCAGCAAGAAGGTCCTGGGTTCGAATCCCGGTTGGACCAGGGCCTTTCTGAGTGGAGTTTGCATGTTCTCCGCGTGTCTGCGTAGGTTTCCTCCGGGTGCTCCGGTTTCCCCTACCACTAAAAATATGCACAATAGGTCTGGCATGTGCCTCCTGTACTGGCGCCCCCACTCCCAAAAACCACAATTGTAAACCGCTTTGAGACTCCGATGTGCAGTGAAAAGGCAGTATATAAATAAAGATTACTTCCGGCGCTGGCCAGGACCTCTGGTCTGAAGACCCTTGCGTCTGAAACTAGAGAATGAGCGTTTGGTGAGCGAGGCTTCAGCGTTTGAGCGTTTGCGGTCTGAAAGCACCAAGGCTGTAGACCCAGGACTGAGGCTCTTCCCTCGACAAATAGACTGTGTGTGTGTGTGTGTGTGTGTGTGTGTGTGTGTGTGTGTGTGTGTGTGTGTGTGTGTGTGTGTGTGTGTGTGTGTTTCCACCCCCACCTCCAGGTAGACCCCCCAGGGCATGACCAGGATGGCGAGCAGCAGGTCGGAGACGGCGAGCGAGACGATGAGGTAGTTGGTGGTGGTCTGCAGAGCGCGCTCTCTGGAGACCGCCACACACACCAGCACGTTCCCAAACACCACGCAGAAGATCAGCAGCACCAGCAACACCGCGTAGAAGTTATAGAGGGGCGGGGGCAGGCCGGACCCCCCCAAGGACCCCCCCGAGCAGTTAGGCCAAGGCGGGGGCAAGGACACCAGCGGGACCTCGGTCTCGTTCTGGTCCGAGGACAGAGAGAAGGCAACGAGCACCTCGGACTGGTTCAGGAGAGTCATGACGTCACTGCATGGTCCATCTGAGGATCAGAACATACATGGTACACACATGGTAAGAACAAACGTGGTCAGAACACACATGGTCAGAACACACATGGTTAGATCACACATAGTCAGAACACACATGGTACACACATGGTCAGAACACACATGGTCAGAGCATACATGGTCAGAGCATACATGGTCAGAACACACATGGTCAGAACACACATGGTCAGAGCATAAATGGTCAGAGCATACATGGTCAGAACACACATGGTACACACATGGTCAGAACACATATGGTCAGAGCATACATGGTCAGAACACACATGGTCAGAGCATAAATGGTCAGAGCATACATGGTCAGAACACACATGGTACACACATGGTCAGAACACACATGGTACACACATGGTCAGAACACACATGGTCCCATTCATATGAATAAGATAAAAGTAAAGTTTCTGTGTGTCTCAGTTTTATTCAAACATTCACTTCAGAAACAATCAAACCCTGAATCTGACTCTGACTTCAACACAGGTCAGAACCAAAGTGTTCCAACACAGGTCAAAGTGTTTCAACACAGGTCAGTCCCAAAGTGTTCCAACACAGGTCAAAGTGTTTCAACACAGGTCAGAACCAAAGTGTTCCAACACAGGTCAGAACCAAAGTGTTCCAACACAGGTCAGAACCAAAGTGTTCCAACACAGGTCAGAACCAAAGTGTTCCAACACAGGTCAGAACCAAAGTGTTCCAACACAGGTCAGAACCAAAGTGTTCCATCACAGGTCAGAACCAAAGTGTTCCAACACAGGTCAGAACCAAAGTGTTCCAACACAGGTCAGATCCAAGGTGTTCCAACACAGGTCAGAACCAAAGTGTTCCAACACAGGTCAGAACCAAGGTGTTCCAACACAGGTCCGAACCAAAGTGTTCCAACACAGGTCCGAACCAAAGTGTTCCAACACAGGTCCGAACCAAGGTGTTCCAACACAGGTCCGAACCAAAGTGTTCCAACACAGGTCCGAACCAAAGTGTTCCAATACAGGTCCGAACCAAAGTGTTCCAACACAGGTCAGAACCAAGGTGTTCCAACACAGGTCAGAACCAAAGTGTTCCAACACAGGTCAAAGTGTTCCAACACAGGTCCGAACCAAAGTGTCCCAACACAGGTCCGAACCAAAGAGTTCCAACACAGGTCAGAACCAAAGAGTTCCAACACAGGTCAGAACCAAAGTGTCCCAACACAGGTCCGAACCAAAGAGTTCCAACACAGGTCAGAACCAAAGAGTTCCAACACAGGTCAGAACCAAAGAGTTCCAACACAGGTCAGAACCAAAGAGTTCCAACACAGGTCAGAACCAAAGTGTTCCAACACAGGTCCGAACCAAAGTGTTCCAACACAGGTCCGAACCAAAGTGTCCCAACACAGGTCCGAACCAAAGTGTCCCAACACAAGTCAGAACCAAAGAGTTCCAACACAGGTCAGAACCAAAGAGTTCCAAAACAGGTCAGAACCAAAGAGTTCCAAAACAGGTCAGAACCAAAGAGTTCCAACACAGGTCAGAACCAAAGTGTTCCAACACAGGTCCGAACCAAAGTGTTCCAACACAGGTCAGAACCAACGTGTTCCAACACAGGTCAGAACCAACGTGTTCCAACACAGGTCAGAACCAAAGTGTTCCAACACAGGTCAGAACCAAGGTGTTCCAACACAGGTCAGAACCAAAGTGTTCCAACACAGGTCAAAGTGTTCCAACACAGGTCAGAACCAAAGTGTTCCAACACAGGTCAGAACCAAAGTGTTCCAACACAGGTCAGAACCAAAGTGTTCCAACACAGGTCAAAGTGTTCCAACACAGGTCAGAATCAAAGTGTTCCAACACGGGTCAGAACCAAAGTGTTCCAACACAGGTCAGAACCAACGTGTTCCAACACAGGTCAGAACCAAAGTGTTCCAACACAGGTCAGAACCAAGGTGTTCCAACACAGGTCAGAACCAAAGTGTTCCAACAGAGGTCCGAACCAAAGTGTTCCAACACAGGCCAGAACCAAGGTGTTCCAACACAGGTCAGAACCAAAGTGTTCCAACACAGGTCAGAACCAAAGTGTTCCGACACAGGTCAGAACCAAGGTGTTCCAACACAGGTCAGAACCAAAGTGTTCCAACACAGGTCAGAACCAAAGTGTTCCAACACAGGTCAGAACCAAAGTGTTCCAACACAGGTCAGAACCAAAGTGTTCCAACACAGGTCAAAGTGTTTTAACACAGGTCAGAACCAAAGTGTTCCAACACAGGTCAGAACCAAAGTGTCCCAACACAGGTCCGAACCAAAGTGTCCCAATACAGGTCAGAACCAAAGTGTCCCAACACAGGTCAGAACCAAAATGTTCCAACACAGGTCCGAACCAAAGTGTTCCAACACAGGCCAGCACCAAGGTGTTCCAACACAGGTCAGAACCAAAGTGTTCCAACACAGGTCCGAACCAAAGTGTTCCAACACAGGTCCGAACCAAAGTGTTCCAACACAGGTCAAAACCAACGTGTTCCAACACAAGTCAGAACCAAAGTGTTCCAACACAGGTCAAAACCAACGTGTTCCAACACAAGTCAGAACCAAAGTGTTCCAACACAGGTCAAAGTGTTCCAACACAGGTCCGAACCAAAGTGTTCCAACACAGGTCAGAACCAAAGTGTTCCAACACAGGTCAGAACCAAAGTGTTCCAACACAGGTCAGAACCAAAGTGTTCCAACACAGGTCAAAGTGTTTTAACACAGGTCAGAATCAAAGTGTTCCAACACAGGTCAGAACCAAAGTGTCCCAACACAGGTCCGAACCAAAGTGTCCCAACACAGGTCAGAACCAAAGTGTCCCAACACAGGTCAGAACCAAAATGTTCCAACACAGGTCCGAACCAAAGTGTTCCAACACAGGCCAGCACCAAGGTGTTCCAACACAGGCCAGAACCAAAGTGTTCCAACACAGGTCAGAACCAAAGTGTTCCAACACAGGTCAGAACCAAAGTGTTCCAACACAGGTCCGAACCAAAGTGTTCCAACACAGGTCAAAACCAACGTGTTCCAACACAAGTCAGAACCAAAGTGTTCCAACACAGGTCAAAACCAACGTGTTCCAACACAGGTCAGAACCAAAGTGTTCCAACACAGGTCAGAACCAAAGTGTTCCAACACAGGTCAAAGTGTTCCAACACAGGTCCGAACCAAAGTGTTCCAACACAGGTCCGAACCAAAGTGTTCCAACACAGGTCCGAACCAAAGTGTTCCAACACAGGTCAGAACCAAAGTGTTCCAACACAGGTCCGAACCAAAGTGTTCCAACACAGGTCAGAACCAACGTGTTCCAACACAGGTCAGAACCAACGTGTTCCAACACAGGTCAGAACCAAAGTGTTCCAACACAGGTCAGAACCAAAGTGTTCCAACACAGGTCCGAACCAAAGTGTCCCAACACAGGTCCGAACCAAAGTGTCCCAACACAGGTCCGAACCAAAGTGTCCCAACACAGGTCCGAACCAAAGTGTCCCAACACAGGTCCGAACCAAAGTGTCCCAACACAGGTCCGAACCAAAGTGTCCCAACACAGGTCCGAACCAAAGTGTTCCAACACAGGTCAGAACCAAAGTGTTCCAACACAGGTCAGAACCAAGGTGTTCCAACACAGGTCAGAACCAAAGTGTTCCAACAGAGGTCCGAACCAAAGTGTTCCAACACAGGCCAGAACCAAGGTGTTCCAACACAGGTCAGAACCAAAGTGTTCCGACACAGGTCAGAACCAAAGTGTTCCAACACAGGTCAGAACCAAAGTGTTCCAACACAGGTCAGAACCAAAGTGTTCCAACACAGGTCAAAGTGTTTTAACACAGGTCAGTCCCAAAGTGTTCCAACACAGGTCAGAACCAAAGTGTCCCAACACAGGTCCGAACCAAAGTGTCCCAACACAGGTCAGAACACACATGGTTAGATCACACATAGTCAGAACACACGTGGTCAGAACACACATGGTACACACATGGTCAGAACACACATGGTCAGAGCATACATGGTCAGAGCATACATGGTCAGAGCATACATGGTCAGAGCACACATGGTCAGAACACACATGGTCAGAACACACATGGTCAGAGCATAAATGGTCAGAGCATACATGGTCAGAACACACATGGTACACACATGGTCAGAACACATATGGTCAGAGCATACATGGTCAGAACACACATGGTCAGAGCATAAATGGTCAGAGCATACATGGTCAGAACACACATGGTACACACATGGTCAGAACACATATGGTCAGAGCATACATGGTCAGAACACACATGGTCAGAACACACATGGTACACACATGGTCAGAACACACATGGTCCCATTCATATGAATAAGATAAAAGTAAAGTTTCTGTGTGTCTCAGTTTTATTCAAACATTCACTTCAGAAACAATCAAACCCTGAATCTGACTCTGACTTCAACACAGGTCAGAACCAAAGTGTTCCAACACAGGTCAAAGTGTTTCAACACAGGTCAGTCCCAAAGTGTTCCAACACAGGTCAAAGTGTTTCAACACAGGTCAGAACCAAAGTGTTCCAACACAGGTCAGAACCAAAGTGTTCCAACACAGGTCAGAACCAAAGTGTTCCAACACAGGTCAGAACCAAAGTGTTCCAACACAGGTCAGAACCAAAGTGTTCCAACACAGGTCAGAACCAAAGTGTTCCATCACAGGTCAGAACCAAAGTGTTCCAACACAGGTCAGAACCAAAGTGTTCCAACACAGGTCAGATCCAAGGTGTTCCAACACAGGTCAGAACCAAAGTGTTCCAACACAGGTCAGAACCAAGGTGTTCCAACACAGGTCCGAACCAAAGTGTTCCAACACAGGTCCGAACCAAAGTGTTCCAACACAGGTCCGAACCTAGGTGTTCCAACACAGGTCCGAACCAAAGTGTTCCAACACAGGTCCGAACCAAAGTGTTCCAATACAGGTCCGAACCAAAGTGTTCCAACACAGGTCAGAACCAAGGTGTTCCAACACAGGTCAGAACCAAAGTGTTCCAACACAGGTCAAAGTGTTCCAACACAGGTCCGAACCAAAGTGTCCCAACACAGGTCCGAACCAAAGAGTTCCAACACAGGTCAGAACCAAAGAGTTCCAACACAGGTCAGAACCAAAGTGTCCCAACACAGGTCCGAACCAAAGTGTCCCAACACAAGTCAGAACCAAAGAGTTCCAACACAGGTCAGAACCAAAGAGTTCCAACACAGGTCAGAACCAAAGAGTTCCAACACAGGTCAGAACCAAAGTGTTCCAACACAGGTCCGAACCAAAGTGTCCCAACACAGGTCCGAACCAAAGTGTCCCAACACAAGTCAGAACCAAAGAGTTCCAACACAGGTCAGAACCAAAGAGTTCCAACACAGGTCAGAACCAAAGTGTTCCAACACAGGTCCGAACCAAAGTGTTCCAACACAGGTCAGAACCAACGTGTTCCAACACAGGTCAGAACCAACGTGTTCCAACACATGTCAGAACCAACGTGTTCCAACACAGGTCAGAACCAAAGTGTTCCAACACAGGTCAGAACCAAGGTGTTCCAACACAGGTCAGAACCAAAGTGTTCCAACACAGGTCAAAGTGTTCCAACACAGGTCAAAGTGTTCCAACACAGGTCAGAACCAAAGTGTTCCAACACAGGTCCAACACAGGTCAAAACCAAAGTGTTCCAACACAGGTCAAAGTGTTCCAACACAGGTCAGAATCAAAGTGTTCCAACACGGGTCAGAACCAAAGTGTTCCAACACAGGTCAGAACCAACGTGTTCCAACACAGGTCAGAACCAAAGTGTTCCAACACAGGTCAGAACCAAGGTGTTCCAACACAGGTCAGAACCAAAGTGTTCCAACAGAGGTCCGAACCAAAGTGTTCCAACACAGGCCAGAACCAAGGTGTTCCAACACAGGTCAGAACCAAAGTGTTCCAACACAGGTCAGAACCAAAGTGTTCCGACACAGGTCAGAACCAAGGTGTTCCAACACAGGTCAGAACCAAAGTGTTCCAACACAGGTCAGAACCAAAGTGTTCCAACACAGGTCAGAACCAAAGTGTTCCAACACAGGTCAGAACCAAAGTGTTCCAACACAGGTCAAAGTGTTTTAACACAGGTCAGAACCAAAGTGTTCCAACACAGGTCAGAACCAAAGTGTCCCAACACAGGTCCGAACCAAAGTGTCCCAACACAGGTCAGAACCAAAGTGTCCCAACACAGGTCAGAACCAAAATGTTCCAACACAGGTCCGAACCAAAGTGTTCCAACACAGGCCAGCACCAAGGTGTTCCAACACAGGTCAGAACCAAAGTGTTCCAACACAGGTCAGAACCAAAGTGTTCCAACAAAGGTCCGAACCAAAGTGTTCCAACACAGGTCAAAACCAACGTGTTCCAACACAAGTCAGAACCAAAGTGTTCCAACACAGGTCAAAACCAACGTGTTCCAACACAAGTCAGAACCAAAGTGTTCCAACACAGGTCAAAGTGTTCCAACACAGGTCCGAACCAAAGTGTTCCAACACAGGTCCGAACCAAAGTGTTCCAACACAGGTCAGAACCAAAGTGTTCCAACACAGGTCAGAACCAAAGTGTTCCAACACAGGTCAAAGTGTTTTAACACAGGTCAGAACCAAAGTGTTCCAACACAGGTCAGAACCAAAGTGTCCCAACACAGGTCCGAACCAAAGTGTCCCAACACAGGTCAGAACCAAAGTGTCCCAACACAGGTCAGAACCAAAATGTTCCAACACAGGTCCGAACCAAAGTGTTCCAACACAGGCCAGCACCAAGGTGTTCCAACACAGGCCAGAACCAAAGTGTTCCAACACAGGTCAGAACCAAAGTGTTCCAACACAGGTCAGAACCAAAGTGTTCCAACACAGGTCCGAACCAAAGTGTTCCAACACAGGTCAAAACCAACGTGTTCCAACACAAGTCAGAACCAAAGTGTTCCAACACAGGTCAAAACCAACGTGTTCCAACACAGGTCAGAACCAAAGTGTTCCAACACAGGTCAGAACCAAAGTGTTCCAACACAGGTCAGAACCAAAGTGTTCCAACACAGGTCAGAACCAAAGTGTTCCAACACAGGTCAAAGTGTTCCAACACAGGTCCGAACCAAAGTGTTCCAACACAGGTCCGAACCAAAGTGTTCCAACACAGGTCAGAACCAAAGTGTTCCAACACAGGTCAGAACCAAAGTGTTCCAACACAGGTCAGAACCAACGTGTTCCAACACAGGTCAGAACCAACGTGTTCCAACACAGGTCAGAACCAAAGTGTTCCAACACAGGTCAGAACCAAAGTGTTCCAACACAGGTCCGAACCAAAGTGTCCCAACACAGGTCCGAACCAAAGTGTCCCAACACAGGTCCGAACCAAAGTGTTCCAACACAGGTCCGAACCAAAGTGTCCCAACACAGGTCCGAACCAAAGTGTCCCAACACAGGTCCGAACCAAAGTGTCCCAACACAGGTCCGAACCAAAGTGTCCCAACACAGGTCCGAACCAAAGTGTTCCAACACAGGTCAGAACCAAAGTGTTCCAACGCAGGTCCGAACCAAAGTGTCCCAACGCAGGTCCGAACCAAAGTGTTCCAACCAGAATCAGAATCAGAATCATTTTTATTGCCAACGTAAGTAACAGGAGGTCACAGACTTGGAAATTGCTTTGGCTCAGTGCAACAGTCAAAAAGAGATAATAAAAATAAGAATAAAAAACACTTCTAAAGAATAAATTAAAAATTTAAAATAGAGTTACAGTTACTATTTACAATATACAAGTGCACATGGTGCACACAATGTAAGGTGACAGCAGTACAGTGAAGTAAAGTGACGTATGATGGGCAGTAAAGTGACTTTAAAAGGGCGGGGGGACAGGTTAAGAAGTGTTCAAGAGTCCAACAGCAGAGGGGAAGAAACTGTTCTTGTGGCGGGAGGTTCTAGTCCTGATGGACCGCAGCCTCCTGCCTGAGGGGAGTGGTTGGAATAGTCCATGTGCAGGGTGAGAGGGGTCGGCTGTGATACGACCAGCCCGGCCTCGAGCTCGGGCGACGTACAGGTCCTGCAGCGATGGAAGGCTGCGGCCGATCACTTCCTCTGCAGAGCGCACAATGCGCTGTAGTCTCTGTTTGTCCCTGACTGTGGCTCCAGCGAACCACACGGTGATGGAGGAGGTGAGGATGGACTCGATGATGGCCGTGTAGAACTGCACCAACATCTGTGCAGGCAGCTTGGCTTTCCTGAGCTGCCGCAGGAAGTACATCCTCTGCTGGGCCTTCTTGATGAGGGAGCTGATGGTCGGCTCCCACTTGAGGTCCTGGGTGATGGTGGTGCCCAGGAAACGGAAGGACTCCACAGAGGTGATGGGGGAGTCCATCACGGAGGGTGGGGGCGGGGGGACAGTGCTCTTCCTGAAGTCCACAATCATCTCCACTGTCTTCTGGGCGTTCAGCTCCAGGTTGTTACCACTGCACCAGGACACCAGCCGGTCCACCTCCCTCCTGTAGGAGACACCAGGACACCAGCCGGTCCACCTCCCTCCTGTAGGCGGACTCATCGTTGTTGGAGATGAGTCCAATGAGGGTGGTGTCGTCCGCGAACTTGATCAGCTTCACGGAGTCGTGGCTGGAGGTGCAGTGGTTGGTGTACAGGGAGAAGAGCAGGGGAGAAAGAACACAGCCCTGTGGGGCTCCTGTATTTATAATCCGAGAGTCCGAGACATTCTTCCCCAGACGCACTCGCTGCTTCCTGTCCGTCAGGAAGTCAGTGATCCACCTGCAGGTGGAATCGGGCACGTTGAGCTGGGAGAGCTTGTCCTGGAGCAGGGATGGCAGGATTGTGTTGAAGGCAGAGCTGAAGTCCACGAACAGGACCCTGGCGTAGGTCCCCGGGGAGTCCAGGTGCTGTAGGATGTGGTGGAGGGCCAGGTTAATGGCGTCGTCTACAGATCTGTTGGCTCTGTAGGCGAACTGCAGGGGGTCCAGGAGGGGGGAGGTGAGGGACTTGAGATGGGAGAGAACCAGGCGTTCAAATGACTTCATGACGACAGACGTAAGTGCTACAGGTCTGTAGTCATTGAGTCCTGTGATCCTGGGCTTCTTCGGGACGGGGACAATGATGGAGGATTTGAAGCAGGCCGGGACATGGCAGGACTGCAGAGAGGTGTTGAAAATGTCCGTGAACACAGGAGTAAGCTCACTGGCGCAGTGTCTCAGAGTGGCCGGAGACACGTGGTCCGGGCCAGGAGCTTTGCGGGGGTGCAGCCTCAGGAAGAGTTGTTTAATCTCTTTAGCGGCTATTGTTAGGCTGGGGGCAGGGCTGATGGGTGGGTCGTTAGAGTAGTGGGGGGTGGGGGAGGGAGAGGTGTCAGGGGCAGCATCAAAGCGACTGAAAAATAAGTTCAGATCGTCAGCTAGCTTGTGGTCATCAGCACAGGGGGGGGGCTTTGGGTTTGTAGTTGGTGATCTCCCGTAGGCCCCTCCAGACAGAAGCAGTATCGTTGTTACCAAACTGCTCCTGTAGTCGTTCTCTGTGCCGGGACTTGGCTGCTTTCAGTTCTTTCCTGAACTGATATTTAGCTGCTTTGTAGCCGCTGCGGTCCCCCTCCCTGAAAGCAGACTCCTTTGCTTTCCTGAGCTGCCGGAGTTTAGCAGTGAACCAGGGTTTGTCGTTGTTATAGATGACCCTGGTCCTTGTTGGAATGATGCTATCCTCACAGAAGTGAATGTATGACGTCACAGTGTCCGTGTATTCATCCAAGCTGTCTGTGGCAGCTCTGAAAAGGTCCCAGTCTGTAGATTCCATGCATGCAGCTCTTCCACAGCTTCATCAGACCACACTTTGGAGCTCCTCACTGCAGGTTTCGAGAGCTTTAGTCTCTGTCTGTAAGCAGGAACCAGATGTATCATGGAGTGATCTGAGAAGCTGAGGGCTGGCTTGGGAACAGCGCGAAAAGCTCCGCGCACGGTGGTGTAACAGTGATCCAGAGTGTTCTCCTCTCTGGTCGGGCATTTGATAAACTGTCTGTATTTGGGTAATTCCTGGCTCAAGTTTCCCTTATTAAAATCCCCCAGGATAATAATCAGAGAGTCCGGGTATAAGCGTTCCATACACAGTACTTGCTCTGCGTCCGCGCATGGCGGTATGTAAACAGAGGCAAGAATGAATGAAACAATTTCCCGCGGGGAGTAATATGGTTTACAATGAATGAAAAGATATTCCAGAGCAGGAGAGCAGTGCTTGGAGATCACTGTCACATGGTTACACCAGTTTGTATTGACGTAGAAACACAGCCTTCCGCCTCTGCTCTTCCCTGAGAGCGCACAATGGCGATCCGCGCGGAACAGCCCAAAGCCCTGCAGCTCCAGAGCACAGTCCGGGATCCGCTCATTTAGCCAGGTCTCAGTGAAGCAGAGGACACAGGATGTGGCGAAGTCCTTGTTTCTTCTCATGAGCAGGCTGAGTTCGTCCATCTTATTGCCCAGTGAGCGTACGTTGGAGAGAAAAATGCCGGGGAGAGCCGTGCGTGCTCCTCTCCTCCTAAGACGCACGAGCAGCCTCCGCGCTTTCCCCTTTTACGGGCCCACACTTTTTTGGCTAGAACATGAACTAAATCAGCCGCAGATGCCAAGAAAACAGGCAATAGGTCCATGGGAACGGTGGGTCGGATGTTCATAAGTTCCTCACGGGTGTAGGAACAGCCAGATGCACAGTTAAAAAGTAAAAACACAGGTCAGAACCAAAGTGTCCCAACACAGGTCAGAACCAAAATGTTTTAACACAGGTCAGAACCAAACTGTTTTTTTTTTTATTTATT